GTTTTTTTCTCAAGTAATTGTCAAATTTTGTCATATAGGGACTAGTTGTGACCAAAAAGAAGACTGTAAACCTAAGGCTTAGTTGCATTATTCGTTTCACTGATAATGGATGTATAAGTCGCATGATTGATATTGATAAGAATGAATAATAGAATAAAGAGATTGGGCTTAAGTATCATGTATAAGACAGTTTACGATGCAGTCTCTGTGTTTCATCCCTTAGCTGTAAACACAGACCGAATGTGAGTGACTATTCAGGTAGCCTCCAGACACTGATGGCTTAACTACTGCGTCGGGGAAATGGCTAACTCAGGAGCCAGGAAAGCTAGGAGGTTGAAATTTTCAGGGAATGTTCTCAACACATATACAGCTAAATTTACTTTAGCTACTTTACTGACCAAAATGGAAGGGCCAGGCCTGGCTGTTTCAAGATGTAAATGCATCTCAGCAGTGCCGCAGGCTCAGCATCATCAATAGTCCATAATGATCAAGATGATCAAAAATCCTCATCGAAATGACATCATAACAATCAAAATACATTTTCTTGTTTCAGCAGCAGCAGTTGTTTGATAGTGCTCGTAATTCGACTGTTGCTTCAAAGGCACCGTTCATGCTGAACTGGCGACACCACGTTGTCGCATAATATATCAAATAATGATTTATGGTTTTTTGTTAGAAATAGTGTAAAGAACAATTGCGTCACTATGATGCAATACCCTGCTCCCCGGTTCAAACTTTGGACATCCTACCCTCGTTAAAGTTTTGCTATCTTATTAACATCTGACTCCTCAAAACAGGAACGAGAGTAGATTGTAATGTGGGTTGAACTAGCTGTGGCATTCCGGAAATGGGGAGCAGCGCTTTTATACCCTAAACAGTGTCGAGTGTACTTATTTAGGTACAATTTACGTAGTTATGTAAGTTCCATCTATTCCATTTAGTGTTGCGACGTGATGATTTCTTTACACATACACATATATACACACAATTCGAGAAATTTCAACAACAAATGAACAAAACCTATTTGAGCCCCAATGGCTAGTCTTACCGATCACAAAACTGGCCCTAAAGGGCCCAATAATGATTGCAGCACATAGTAAATAAAAAAAAACTTAGTATCTATAGTCCGTACAACAGAACTAAAATGAGACATACACACATGAATAATCATGAATAAAATTATCATGAGTGAAATCATAAAACCCGTAATCGTCTAATTATACGTCGAAAAACTCGAAAATGAGAGACGATCCGACGAACTGCTCCACGACAGTACAGCACAATGAAGATGAACAAAACACAGCAGCACCACAGCAACAGTTTATGGATTCGAGTACGAATATCCACCCTATGCTCCCCATCGCCAACACCACCAGCCGAAGCACCAGCAGCAGCATTCACATTTCCGTCGTCAAAGAATTGAACAATCTCATGGAGCTGCAAAAAAACAAATCAAATTGCATAATTATTCACCTCACTTCTATACAGATCATTACTACCCGCTTATATTGGTGTCTACATCGCAGGAGGCTGTACTGACGATTCTCACTCCCAACCGCATGCATAGTCCGGTCTGTGTTTACAGCTAAGGGATGAAACACAGACAGACTGCACCATAAAATATCACCTTACC